ATATATATATCTAAATTCTTCGATTCGATTATTAAAAAAAAAAAAAAAAAAAAAAAAAAAAAAAAAAATAGAAGAAGAAGAAGAATAGATTATAAGGGAGAAATAAGGGCTAGTTGTTGAATTGTGTTGAAAACTCGATCCATTGCCTCAAAGGCAAAAGTGTTGACGTGTGAATTTTGGAGAGTCGAGTTTATTAAAAGTCCCTAGAGGTGAATTCATTGTTTCAAACGCCTATCTTTCAAATTTTGGCGTAATCACCTCAATTCAAGAAAATTAGCCACACATTCCCATATTACCTACCTCGGACCAAAGAGCCTAACAATTGAAAGCCACAAAGTCCCAATGATCCCAATAGCTTATTGTTCAATATTAGTTGAGTAAAATAATTTGGTGAATATTTGAAGTCAAATATATGCATGTAAGTATAAATTTTCTCTATTTTTAACTTGCAAATATTGGATACTTGAAGCAATTGTATGATTTGTGGTTTTTGGTAATAGTGAGTGACTAAGTGCCGTTGAATGTTAAGCTTGCGAATGCCTAGGAATTATCATCATAATTGCAAGTTCTGAAAACACGAAGTTGACCAATCGATCTATGTAATGAGATGTATAGTCGTGTTTTGTGTTCTTAATTTGATTTTACTTGAGGACAAGCAAAAGTTCAAGTTTGGGGGTGTGTTAAGTGTATATTTATACACTTAATTGTACCTTTTAATTGGAGCTTTTGGTGTATTTTAATGATAATTGGTGCTTAAAATGGTTGTTATTTGTATTTTAGGTGCAAATTGAAGAATTGGCAACTTATGGGGTGAAAACTGCAAATTCGGAGAAAAAGTGGGCCAAAAGTGAAAAAATCAGATTTCTGAAGAATTGAAGACCGCGCGGCCGTGCGGATTTCAGGCGTAAATCTCACACGGCCGTCCGGATGGTCGAGGTGGCGCAGTGAAGGAAGTTTAATTACACAAGGAAACTCGCCCTATTATATTTTTGCACCCTATTTAAAGGCCAAAAGCACACAATTAGGAATCATCTTTTAATCTTTTATGAGCTTTATTTTTAGTTTTTATCTTTCAGCTTTCTACAAGCAATCGAGGAGGAAGAGAACGAAGACGAAGACTTGACGAATCTTCATCCTAGTTTTCCTTTTTACTTTTCTTTTCTGACTTTTATGAATTTTCGTATTTTTATTATGCTTTTCGTTACGAACATGAGTAGCTAAGTTTTTATTCTAGGATTTTGTTGGAACCCTATGTGGTAATTCGAACCTCTTTTTCTATTTTTATGCAAGTTTAATTCTTCGATTATTTCTTCTATTTTGATCTTATTTAGCGCATGAACGTAGCTAATTTATGTTGCTATTGGTTATGTTGCTATTGGTTATTGGTTATTGGTTATTTAGCAACATAAATCAGTGTGAGAGAATGATCTCCGCAACGAAGAGCGTCCATGACCTGTAGACAATCTCCCTCAAATATAATAGAGCTCCAATGAAAACGGTGCGCCGTGATAATCGCTTGTCGGACTGCTTGGGCCTCTCCTTCCGCTGGAGAAACTCGACCTCGGATTCGCACCACTCGCCACCACACACATATTCCATCTTCATCTCTAGCCACCAATGAAACGTTGAAATAATCTGCATTGGCAGGGAAGGCCGCGTCCACATTGGTTTGAAGTGTTCCTCTCGGTGGCGGTGCCCATATAACTGGTTGAATCATCTTTGTGACGGTAAGTTGGCCGAATTGTGTGTCTCTGTAATCATCTTTGTAGAAATTTCATATGCTTGAATGATGTTATGTGCGACCACTATTTTATACGTCTAATAACTGAAAGCAATAGTTTGAAATTTTGAGTAAATTAAGAGAAGTAATCTTGCTGCCAATAGTCAAACCATATCGGTTACTAGTCCACATACATTTCATTGTCATTATTAGCCTTAGGGTGTTCATTTTGGGTATTCGGATAATTTTGGTGATTAATAAGGATATTGAGATCAAATAATAAAATGTGAAGTTTCTACTTATGACATTCTGTATTATCCTTTTCTTTTTTTCTTTTTTTCTTTTATTTTTTTTATTTTTCCATTTCCTCTATATATAGTGAATTAGCAGTATAATACATCTTCAACATTAGTTTTACGTAAGAACTTTATAACTACATTTCATTTCCAGGATCTAGGATTGAGGTTTTAAATGTTGGTTTGTCTTAAAATTTACATTGCAGAGAGAGCTAGTTTTTCTTCATATATGCATCTATTTTTTTCCACATATCATGAGATTCTTAAATTCTCGAGTTTCATACAATGAGTCTCTGCCCAAAGAAGAGATGGTGAGAGAGCCCGAAACGTTGGCCCGAAAAAAGAGATGGTCAGAAAGCTGAAGAAAGGGGAGCATGTTTAAAGAGATGAATAAAACAAGATGAACGAATAAATTATTTAATTGGGTGGCACCAGCCCCCAGTCGGCTTGAAACACCAGCGGTGTTGTTCTTTCAAGAGGAACGATCGATAATGATAATGATGGAAAAAATAATTAGGGAGATTAGGGTTAAACAATTAAACCATTGGTGAAATGATAAGTCGTATTAGAATTTATTTTATTTAATATGATTTTAAATTTTACTTTGTAATTATCTTTTATATTATTGTTTTTCTAATTATATTTTTAACTTTAATTAAAAAGGACTTTTATGTAATTTTAATCTTAATCTAGGGTTCGTACTTTTTTTTTACTGGATACGTACTAATCCTATGTGGCATATTTTTATTGGTCCATTATATCGGTTATAAATAATAGACTCATAATACACGCAACAACGGGTTATGAGTAAATTAGTGTCTCGGGTTAATAATTAGGAATTGTAACTTGCATGATAGAGGTTTAATTGGGAGATGAATAATCGCATAGGGGGAAGATAAAATCCTAGATCCGTTTTTATTGATATTTTCTCGTGTTTATTTGTTTTTATAATTAGATTAATTATTTTGTTGATTGAATTTGACAACCTTGCGTAGGCTGGATAAAAATCATAATTGTTAGAATTTGGTACTTAAGATTAGATAATTTGAGTATTCCCCGTGGGATCGACATCCGACTCTCATGAGTCTACTTGTACTACTTGTTTGCGATACGTGCACTTGCATGTTAGGCATTTATCCCAACACGTATACTATTGGAATTTAGTGCCTGCAATTATTATGATTCTCGAGTATAAATTAAAAAGCCTTGTCGCAAGCCGAAATCCAGATATAGTAACATAAAGAATGTGATAAACGATAAACGAACCCCTAATTAATAAAGATGTTGATTCTCCCTCCGAGTTTGCGATTCAGATTTTCTCGTAGCCCATGCATATCCGTAAGTGAAATTTTAGTGAAGCAATTAATTGACATGTACGACGGTGACCGCTCCGTGAATTTAGTTGATAGATCTCGTATAACCGCCCTCTCTCGAAATAGCATTTTCTTCTTTTAACATTTGGAGAAGAAAAAAAATTTCAATACCTCAACGGGTTATAAGTGTATATTATCAATCAATTGTATCCTTTTCTTCATTTTTTTCTGTTGACAAAAATAACAAAAATAAAATACTACTAAATCGGAATATCAAATTCAGCATACAAAAATAAAATACTATTATGTTTTTTTTTATCTCTTATTTTAATAATCATTTTTAGGACACTGACACAACAAATTTAAAGCCCAGTGGGCTTGTCTTCAGGTGCCCTAAAATACCTGCACTTTCTTTTTCCTAGGGTTTGACGTCACTCAAACTCTATAAAACGGACCAAAATTTTCTGTCTGAAGCTGCGCCGTGCTTGTGTCTGAAAATCCGACAGAAAAAATGCCACCGATACCTTCGCTGGAAGATCTCCACCGCCTAAGGCCGCCACCTGAACCTCCGCCGCCGAGGTATGCCTTCAATTCCGACATATGGGTTTTCTCTTCCATCTTCTTGATTTGCTGTTTGCATGCAAAAAAAACATAATAATGGATTGATTTGTTTCTGGTTTTGACTATCCGCCGCAGCCCATTATAATTAAAAATCTTATAAGTGGCTGATCTTTGTTTCTTTTTTAAATCCGATTTGATTATTACACAAATGGACATGTTTTTTGTTCCGGATATTTGAGGGTATAGTAAACAGCATAAAATCCCTAGTTAACGGCGTTAAAAGTTTTAACGGAAAAGGAGGATTCTTGCAAAGTAAAATAAAGCACAAGGGTTTTAAGCAACAAAAAAAAACACAAAGGATTTGGCGCAGATTTTCCTTAACACAAGGGAATTTTATGTTATTTGCCGGATATTTGATTTGTGGAGTGTTTCTTTTCCGGGCAGATTTAGTCAGACAATTTATTGATTGATTTGTAACTTTACACCTTAATCACATTGTTTATATACAGATCTTTGTTTTTTTTTTTTAAACCCTGATTTAATCATCTTTGATTATTACACATATGGTCTAAAAACCTGATTTATTCTTTCTTTTTATTTGCTTTTTTGACATATAGATGGAGGAGAAGCATATCGAACAATATTCTCGTCAGCGGCATTAGGGTAAACCAATTCTCTGACGTTAACTTTTTTATCGCATCAATAGTTTCATTATATTTCTAATCGAGAAAAAAAAAATTCAGTTTCATTATTAACAAAATTTAAGAACTCACCTTTCGTGTTTTTTTTTTTGTTGACCAACCGGTGAATTCCAGATCTCTTTAATTAGTAGTGCAGTTGATAGTGTTGGAGGATTGGAAATTTTGATAGCAATTATCTACCTTAAAGCCACCTTCCATTCACTTATCAATTGCATGGTGCAAATTTTTAAAGGGTGTCGGCACAAGATTTGAGGTTAGTTGTGGCACATCTTAATTGCATGGTTTTTCTTTACTATAATTTACTTGTTTTATTTATCCTATAATTTAATTTGCATTCGCGTTATGAACACGACTTCTCGAGGATTTGGCATCGATCGAGTTCCTCATTCAAATATCTTCTTATGCATGCAGCTCAGTGTGGATGGTCAGAGCATGATGAAGCTCATATTTTAGCGATGAAAACCGTGAGTCAAAATTTGAATTTGAGTTCCATGCTTTTTCGGTGTATTGTTTATTCTTGAATTTGAGTTTCTTCGAAATACATAAAATCCTTGACTAAAATCGATTTTTCTTCTCTTTTTTGTAGACCCAAATGGTTGTTCGCCATAGACCGTGAAAACATGTTGCTCCTTTCGACTAGCCGAACCCTACTTGGTACTCATTTAATATGAAAGCGTCCAGGAATTTGAGTATTAATTCTTTCGAGTTTCGAGTTTCTCTGGATTTCTTTCCATATTAATTCTATGGATCATTTAAGACTTCCAACATCCGCCTCTTCATATTATTTTGATTTACAACGCCGTACATTTGACAACATCAAATAAAAAAATAAAACGTTTCCAGTTTTTGATAACCCCATTGTTTGTGCAGCCGTGGTCAACTGCCTAAGTTTGGCAAAATGATTTATTTGACCAAAAAATACATTGATTTTAACGGGTGGGGACTACTTGCTCGCCTGCTTGGCTGTGCACCAATGCTAGAGAAGCTGTGCACCAATGCTAGAGAAGCTGATGTTCAGATCGGTAATGTTACGAAGTTATTGTGATTTGACTAATAACATTTGTTTAATTTCTCCATGGGTGCCTTGTGTTAATTTTATTTTATTCTTAAGTTGTGTAGGGTTTTGACGATGAAAGCTATGGTATGTGGCAAAATGGTAATAGTAAAGAAGGAATTCTTGAGTATTAGATAATGGTTCTTAATGTGGAACACATGGGGTATATCTCGAGGATTTAAATGAGGTATTATTGTTTTTCCTATTCTTTTATGATACACTTTTGAATACATGCATGAATTGACCAAGTAATTAATATTCTGAAAAAAAAAAATTTAAACTAAAACCGATTTATTTTTTTCTTTTGTAGTTTGAAGATATGACATTGAGCTAGATTTTCTAGATTGGTGTATCTGGATTGCTCGTGGAGGAAAATCGATTGGTCCAATTGAGAAAAACATTCTCATACGAGGATATGTAATTAGAAAAATCGACCTAGTTTATATAAAAGAGGAGCTACATTCATATGAATATAATTTAGCTTTATTCCGACTGAATTTGAGGTGCCAGAAACATTATGATATTTTAGAATGTTCCTAACACCTCAAATTCGGTCTTAGGAGAAAGAGAAGACGCTGATAGGAAAACAAAATGTAGCGACAAGATAGACTAATTCATATGAATTTAACTCCTCTTTATCGTCAACTGCGTTATTTCCCCTTTTTGTCCCTTATAGAAATAGTTGATTTTCCGTTAGTTGAAAATTATATATGAACAAGTGTACTTACGTCAAAGTTTGTAGATTGTATTTTACTATGTACGAAACTACTTTTTCACGTTCATATGTTTGTAATAATCTTGGACTTATCTAATTCTTAAGAATGTATTTTGCCAAAAGATGTAATTCTTAAGAATGTATTTTGAGGTTGATATTTAATGATGAGTATAAACTACAATTATTTTAAAATTATATAATAATTAAAAAATAAAAAATAAAAATTAAAAAACCCGGTTGAACCGAGGTTGAACCGGTCCAACCGTGACCCAGTTATTTGTCCGGTTCGATGTCCGGTCCGATTTTCAAAACATTGTTTATAAGAAAAAAAAATTATCATGCAACTATGACGTATTTGCATATTATTTTAATTATAAGTTCTTCCCTAAGATTTCCTAACAAGAGTAATTTCATAAATGAAGAAACTTCTTTTAGGATATTAGACCCGTAAACATTCATAGACACTTCTGAACGAAATTTTTATAAGTAATTTTCAGATAAAGTCCATTTTCTGTGTATAGAAAGTTGATAGTGTTATGCCTAAAATATTGTCAAATTGTTGGTAAATGGCTCAAAATGTGATCAAGTCAAGTATTACTGACTATGAGGGTAAATAATAAAACCCCCACGTGTTAAGAAAAATCTACACCAAACTCCTCTGTGTTTTTTTTCTTCACACGAAATCTCATTTTCCGTTAAAAGTTAATGCGTTTAACTATAGAGGAGATTGTATGCAATTTTTCATTACAGAGGGGGATTTAGTGCATATTTTCAACAATATAAGTGGATTTTATGCAAATTTAATTTATTCGTTTAAATATCGTATTATTTTCTTAAATTAAGTCGAACACATTTATCCAATTACAATATGAAAAATAGAAATTTAATAGGTGATGTGAATGTTTTTTAGCCAAAGAAAAAACCAATTTTTATATGATATAGTTTATTAATTTATTTAATAATTTTGATTTTTTAAAATATATAATTATATTATTAGAATTATTATATAATTTTAGAATTATTTTTGGACTAATATATGTGAAAAACATAAATAATTTGAGAATTCGTTCCAACTTCCATCTCGAATATTATTTTTTTTAGTTTTCATATTTTATATTAATAGATGTATTCAACTTAATTAAAGAAAATAATGTGAATGTTTAATGAATAAATTTATTTTGCATAGACCCCTTCTTGTGTTGCAAAACCATGCACCAAATCCCCCTAAGTTACAAAAAACTTGCATAAAATCCCCTCTATAGTTAACAGTGTTAATTATTAACGGAAATTGGGATTTTATGCAAGAAAAAATGAAACACATGAGGGTTTTAAGCAATACAAAGAACACATCGTGATTTTATGTTGTTTACCTCTGTCTATGGTCCATTTTATATAAATTTCAAAAAAAAATAGGAAATCTTAGTAAATATACGGAATGCATGCATTTATAAGATGTTGTTTACCTCTGTCTATGGTCCATTTATGATTCTCTAGCAAAAAAAGAAAAACTTTGACGCGGGCCAAAATATAATCTATCATAAAAATAAATAAGAGGTTGTTGCAATTAGTACCCCTGTGAAAATCACAACTGTGCGTTTTCCCCTATCATAATTTATTTTGCAAAGATGGCAGCTGAGATGGGTTTGACGGTGGCTGTGTGGTGGGCTGTTGAGCAAAGTTAGCGGCAGAGAGGAGTTGGGCGGTTGGTGGTGTTGGAGGAGGCTGGTTCACGGTGAAGAGGATTGATTAAATTTTGGTCTGTAAAAACTATGATGATTTTTTTCTTTTCTTTAATATCTTGGAAAATAGCAATTTAACCTCTTTTAGTTTCTGCAAGTTTTTGAAAATTCAATCTGGCCCCTTAATTTTAAAACATACATGTTAAAGGGTTGTGGCTTTTATTTTTGCAGAAACCTCCCCGGGGTATTTTAGTCTTTTCCAATCAGTCAACGGGAAAAAGGTAAATGGGTCGACTATGCTGTCTAAGAAATGATTCAGGGGTGTATTTGCTAAATTTTTTTTATGGCAGGCTAAAATGCACAGTTGCGATTTTCACTTGAGTACTAAATGCAATAAGCTCCAATAGACCTAACTCCTAAGTACAATTGTTGGTTCTCTCACTCTGGGTTTGCCATGAAGATTTCTCGTAGCCCATGTATAGCCGTCAATGAAATTTTAATGAAGCAATTAATTGAATTTATCTGATGGTGACCGCTCTCAGAGAAACCACATAGCTTATATATAACTATATATTAGTTACTACACGTGACTGATTACATGTATATGGCGACATGTTACTATATATGACTACATGTATATCATGACATGTGACTATATGAGTATAGTCATATATAGTGTAATTTGTGTTTATAGCTTCAAATCTCACTTTTCAACACGACAACAATATTGATCTAATGGGTGCAAAAGAACTGTTTTGAATTGACAAATACCATATCCTCTCGGCAAAAATTTATATCAAAGAAGTTGTTCAAACAACAAGACCTGTGACACAAAATCAAGTTTTGTTTAAATAATATAGTCCTTAGGAGTCACCGCGCTTCTTAAATATGATCAGTACCAAGAGAACTCAAAGTACATAATTCGCAACAATTGAATTTAAACCTCATCTTGTACTTACAACAAACTGTCAACTCGAAAACCATAAAATTAAAACCATAGTATTAATTTTTTTCATATTTTTTATTTTTTGACTTTTTAAATATTAATTTTTTTTTTAATTTTTAAATAATAAATTTTCAATAAGTTTTCTGTGCAGAAATTGACTACAGATGACTAAATATGTTCTTCAACAAATAACAAATCATCATCATCAATTAGTACCGAACAAAAAATTGGAAACACACAATCATCAACATCATTATACATCAGAAAAACCACAGTTTATATATAATTATATATTGCTACATGTTACTACACGTGACTATATATGACTATATGTATATGACTGCATGTGACTATATATGACTACATGTACATGTATATGAGTATAGTCATATTTAGTGTAATTTGTATTTATAGCTTCAAATCCCACTTTTCAACACGACAACAGCTCCGATAGATCGGTTGCAAAAGAACTGTTTTGAATTGACGAACACTATATCCTTTCGGCAAAAAATTACTGCAAATAATATGTTCAAACACCAAGACCTGTGACACGAAATCAGTTTATGTTTAAATAATATAATCCTCAGGAGTCACCACGCTTCTTAAATAATGACCAGTACAAAGAGCACTCAAATTACATAATTCGCAATGATTAAATATAAGGGGCTATATGCCAAACACCCTTCATGAAGATTTTAATTCAAGATAAATCCTTTATTTATAAATGATATTTGACATAAATCCAATGGGCCTAAAAAACTATATATGCCCCCACTAATTATTAATTAGTATAATTATTTAATTTAAAAAACAATTATACCCATAATCTACACACAAATCTTCTCCAAAAATTATTCCCCTAATCACGCTAATTTAGTTTTTTTTTTCCTTTTATTTTTTACTTTGTTTAATGATTTTCTTTATTTCTATTTAAAAAAATTGTAATTATTTTATTTTATTTTATTTTTTTTTCGGATTTTTATTTTAAATTATTTTTTTCTTATTTATATTTTTCATGTTTTTTATTTTAATTTTAAAAAAGTGGTTTTATTTTTATTTTCGTTTTTTTTCATTGTTTTTCTTTTTTCTTAATTTCGATTTTTTTTTAAAAATGGTTTTGTTTTTTTTCTTTTCTTTCCAGTTTTTTTAAATAAAAACCACTCTATATAAACATGAAAACCACTATGTATAAACAGCTATATAAATATGAAAACCACTCTGTTTAAAAATAGCTATATAAACATGAAAACCACTATATATACCCAAAAATATAAATATAAAATCACTTTGTATAAACAACTATATAAACATGAAACTCTGTATAAAAACAACTATATAAACATGAAAACCACTATGTATACACAACTATAAAACCACTATGTACAAACAACTATATAAGAAAACCACTCTATAAACAACTATATAAACATGAAAACCACTCTGTATAAACAACTATATAAATATAAAAACCACTTTGTACCTGTATAAACATGAAAACCACTCTTTATAGTTTCGAAAATCACTATGAAATTATCGAAAACCACTATGACATTACCGTTAAATTCACTATTACATTAAAGTAATGCACATTAATATTGATGTAATTCACTACAAACTTATCGAAATCTATGTAATTCACAACGAATTAAAGTAATCGACTAAAAACACAACAAAAAGTTAACAGAAAAATTCGGAGAATATAGCAATAAATGGATTAGCCGGACAACACCAGCAGCCGACCCGTCAGCATTGGCACAAGAAGCAGTAGCCAGTTTGTCTCTGTAACTTAAATTAACTCCATTCAAAGTAATTCCACTGCACGACTTCTTTTTACTGCAGTCAAATTTCACTGCAACTTGTGCAGCTGATGTTCCATGTATATCTTCATATGC